TCCTTTGAATTGTACAGTGCTTGTACATGTCGTCGTGCGACTGGCGAGTAGGACTCCCCACGGTTCGGCTCGGCTCGGCTCGGCTTGAAGCCGGCTTCAAAAACGAAGCCAAAGCCGGTGGCCTTTGGAGCCGAGCCGAACCGGGCAAAACCGATGGAGCCGATGAAACCGAGGGGTCGCGTGTCGGTAGTCAACTCCGATACTTTATTCGCTCTTAAGATCGCAATCAAGGTAGTACTGGATGACTGGATCTTCTTTGGCCATCTCCAAGAGGTCCACACGCGCTTTCAAGTCGTCGAGCGCCTGGAGGTAGTCGTCTGGGAGCGGGAAGTCCAGCGCCTTCGCAAGCTGCATCCACGACTTCGCGCACATTTGCGCCTTGAACATGTTGTCACCGAGGCTGTCTCGCCCTTCGAAGACGCGCTTAGCCGCAGAGTTGGCTCGCTCGCTTGGCACCGCCGTGGTCGGGATTGAGAGGTAGTCCATCGCAATCTTGTACAGCACCGGGCGAGGCGACGTGTACCAATGGAAAGACCTCCGAGACGACGTACGTGGCGATGGCCGAGTCATACTTGCGCCTCGCCGACAAAGGGAGTGTGTCGGTGATAGACTTCTGGATCGCCACCGATGACGAAGCCACCGTGTCCTTCGTGATGCCATGGGCATTCAAGTGCTTGGCGATGGTGCGTGGACGTGGACGTCCCAAACGTCGTTGAACAACACGAGCAGCGGCGCACCTTGTTGGGCAAGGAGACCATGTAGTCCAGAGTCCACGACCTCTTCGTTGCCGCCTTGGCCTTCCCCGACTTGGCCGGCTCTGGGCACGGTTCCACGATCACGACCTCATCGTCCGACATTTCGAGAATGATCACGAGTAGTATATTTAGTCTTGTAGTATGTATGTTATAGTGGTTGCCAATCGTAAATGACTGGAGCAACGGCTCCATCGGCTTTAGCGGCTCGGCTCGGCTCGGCTTGAAGCCGGCTCGAAAAATGAAGCCAAAGCCGGGCAAAACCGAGCCGAGCCGTCGGCTCCACGGCTCGAGCCGAACCGTGGGGAGTCCTACTGGCGAGCTGAAAGACGCTGTTGGTGCAGCGAGTTGGCCTCGACGTCGACGTACGCGCAGAGGATGGGCCAGCGCATGGCGATCGTCGAGCAG